GTTGGTTATGGTGTCTATAGCATCACTTCAAGCAGCATATGGAACAAATAAAAAAAGCTTAGTGCAGATGCATACAACTACTTACATGACATTCCACCTGCTCATTGGTCAAGACATAAGTTCAACTCTCACTCCAAGTCAGGTATGCTCTTGAACAATTGTTGTGGAAGCTTCAATAATGTTCTTAGAGAAGCTATAACAAAGCCTATACTGTAGCTGATGGAGTGGGTAAGAAGATATGTCATAGGAAGATTTTTTGCAAAAAAGGAAGGGCTCAAATCTTTCACTGGTGTCATAATGTCAACTTTCTTGAAGTTTGTGCATAGAGGTCCGCATCAAGTGTCCAACATGAGAGTAACTCAAGCTGACTTAACGGAGTTTAAAGTTGATGACACAGAAGACACTTATGTTGTCAACCTAGACACAAAAGCTTGCAGCTGCAATAGATGGACACTCATGGGAATTCCTTGCTGGCATGCACTTACCTGTGTTCAATTGAGAAGGCTTGACACTGAGCAATTTAGTCACCTAACTTATCATGTGGAGACATACACCAAGACATATGCTCCAACTTTTAAAGCAATGTCAGGTCATCAGCAGTGGGAAGTCACTCCTTATCCAAGGCCATTACCTCCTACACACAAAAACTTACCTGGAAGGCCTTCAAGTAAAAAGAGAAAGAAAGAAGTTAGGGAAGAGAAAAAGATAAAGAATGTCAAGAGGGAAAAGGTGCAAAACAAATGCTCTAATTGTGGGGGTTGGGGCATTACAAGAATAAGAGTCCATCCCCACCTATTGATAAGTCACATAGGCCTCCTGGAAGACCAAAGAGTGTTGTACGAACAAGGCAAGCAGTACCAGTCTAAGCAGCAGAAACTACCTCATCCCAAGCTTCACAGCACTCCATCTCAATGTCTGCACCACATGGGACCTAGAATTCTAGTTGAATATTGCCTTGAAGTTGAACATGTTTTTTTTTGTTGTAGAACAATTGGTGTAGTTGGTTATCAAAAGTTGTATGTGATCAATGTTGCTACTTAAAACTAATTTTTTGTGAACAAACTCATGATGTGAAGATCTGTTTATGATCACAGCTACTTGTTTTATGTTATGCCAAATTTGAAGAGTCTTGTTGCTTTAATTTTTCTTTACTTTTACTTTTTTTTTGTCATACTTTTATTCAAATAAGATAATGGAGCAAGCAAGGAACATGAACCAAAAATGATTGATACCAAACTATATTGCTTTTTTATTTCATAAAAAGGGGTGCAAAATACACCACTTTCACTTAGCTTAACACCCCCCCCCCCACAGTGTACAAACCAAAATAAGTCAATAATACAACACTAACTTACACATCTACTTGCCAAAATAACCCCACTAACTTAGCAATCTAAGCAAACATTTTCATCAACAAAGACACTGACAATCACAGAAATAACAACACAAAAACCAATCTGCTTAAACCCCCCTGCCTTAGGGCTTAAAGGTTTTTGTGTTCTTCTAAACACAACATCCTAGCTTTGACGATTGTCAGTTTCTATTTCCCTCCTGTGCCTCTCAACCACAAGGAAATTAATCACAACACGCTGCCAATCTGTTTGATCCTCATCTAGCCATTTGAATGTGTTGCAACATCATTCACCAGTGTCATGGTCGTACTTTTTGCAAGCCTCGAACCTTCTTCCTAGATTATCATGAGTCCAGGAGGTTCTCTTCACACAAGGAAAGCCACATTCGCAATTCACCATTTTACCTACAATAAGACAGAAAAACAGTGGTATTAGAGTACACAGAAGAACAGTTTTGGAGATTTGATGACTACAACTGTGAAAGAAATTGATGAAGATCCCTAATTTACATTTTAATTTATCTGATTTTGGGGGAAAAGTTGCCCTAATTTGGAATTGAGTGATTTGGCACTTCAACAAAATAAATCAAAGGTAACAATGCAAAACCATTGCCTAATATAAAAAAAGTGTTGCCTTGTAGCTAAGACAACACATATGAGGCGTAATTTATGCCCCCGTTGTCTATTCATAAGGCAACACATTTTTATTCAAAGGCAACAATTTTGAAAGCTTAGGTAAAATGATACATAAGGCAACACTTTAACAAAGACAACAAATGAAAAATGTTGCCATCTAAGAAGATAATTCAAAAATGTTGTCACTCCCAAGCATTTAGTAGTTGGTAGGGCTCGAACTTGTGACCTCTACCAAAATTACTCATATATATATATATATATATATATATATATATATATATATGTTGTCATTTTAATATAAATGTTGCTATAGATGGCAACATAGATATTAATATAACATTTTTCAAACAATAGTTTTGTTATTGTTATCTTTTCATGCAACAATTATTATATTTGTTGTCTTAGACAAGAAAAAGGTAACACTTTAAGCGACTGTTGCCTTATATAGTCTAGAGCAACACTTTTTTTTTATTACTTTAGTTCAAGGTAACAAATAAGTACTGTTGCGTTAGATTATTAAGAGTAACATTTCTGTAAGTGTTGCAATCTTAAGTGTTGCCTATTCTCATTTTTTTTGTAGTGTGGGGAGGGCTTTCCTACACTATATATAGAGGGGAAATAAGGGAGCCAAAACGAAGGAGGGAAAATCAATAATTGTAGGCTGCAAGTAGGAAAATAAAGGAGTCAACACCAGAAAGTCTTGGTCAATGCCGGAAAAGTAAGCCCAGGTTTCATTCAACAAAAAAGTGATCGTGGTGGTTTTTTTTAACAAAGAATGTTTTAAAAGGTTTTTTCTTGCAAAATGAGCCATTTAAAAGGTTTTTTTTTCTGACAAATTTTCCTAAAAACAATAATTAACACATGAAACTTAATTATTTTTTAATATTCGTTTTATTATACTAAAAATGATTTTAATGCAGTTATCATAAATTTCTAGCAAGTAGACCCCACTCAAGTCTCTTTAATGTTCTTTACTTTTTTTTTTTAAATCAAAATTGATGTCAATCTAGTCTATATCTATACTTCTATATTAAAAAAACGTTCCTAAAAATATTTATGTTCCACGTGTGCCACATCACAACTCAATAGCCAATGACATCATGTCACGTCACCATTCAATATTTCATGGCAATGTTAACTAAAAAATGCATGGAAGGAGGTTTGAACCCCTAACCTCATGAAATGAATATCACACATCTTTCCATCTTAACTAGCAATAATTTATGCTCCATTCATCCATATAAATGTATATAAATATAGAATTAAAAAAAAAAAACCAAACTAAAAACAAATGAAACCTATACTATTCTTTTAATTCTTTTCAATATATTAACTTTATATTTCTAAATTTACTAAAAAAATCAAACTTTTTTTTTTAAAAAAAAAAACCCTCTAACAACATCCCAGGGCAGCGCCTGGATCAACACACTAGTTAGTACTCCCTCTGTTTTTTAAAACTTGCTCCATTTCTATTTTTTGCACTCTTCATTTGTCCTACTTTGACAAATGTTTGTGATTTATACATAAGAAAAAAAATGTAATCTTGTGGGTACTTGTTGGAATCATCTCAATGAATAGATTATTAATTTTCAATTGTTAGAATTTATTTTTATTGATAATTAAAGATATTAGTGATCAAAGATTAGTATCGACATGCGTGTCCGATAGAAATGGAGCAAATATTTAAAAACGGAGGGAGTATTACAAGCTGATGTCAATAATTATAACATCCTTTAAAGTTGGTGTCTGATCACAACCATCTTTCCTTTCTACGAACGAACAAAAAAAAAAAAGTCAAAGTCATCAGTGGAACGAACACTTGAAGAGGGGCTGGTGATACAATTGAACCAACCGAAGGGTAAAGCTTGGTTCGTGGAGGCGGATGCACGATCCGCATGGTGCATCCGCTCCGAAGTACAAAAAGGCAGAATGAACATGCAGGTATATACTAATGTACATAGGCATATAAAAGAACATAGTGTTTATTTATAATGTACATGGACATATACATAAAAGAACATAGTGTTCATTTGTAATGTACATCAGATTTTTGTGCAACAATTTTGTATATTATTTTTGTATAATAATATAATTATTTTTTTTGTTAAATGAAATAGATAAATAGTACTATAATTATTTTTTTACCATACATTAATTACAAATCATTTCAAATTTTTTTTTTTTACCAAAAGTTCACTTTCTCTCCCCAAACAAAACTTCAAACCCATTTAAATTCCTCAAATCTCAAGCAAAATTTCAAGAAATTTGAAATTTTGAGTCCAAAATTGTTCAAGATGACAAATAAAAACGGAAGGTAAGACCAAATTCGACATTCATACTTGTTTATTTGTCATTCAAACTTGTTTATTTTTAGTTTTAGTGTTTGTTTTTTTATAAATTTGATTGAAAATTGTAATATTTGATTTTTATTGGGAATTAATTGCGATTTTGATGTTATTTTGTTGTTGCAATGAGAAATAAAATGAAGTTCTTGAAGAAGATCATTCGATTAATCCATTTTTGAAGAAAAAAGCAAGCAAATAGACAATTTTAGAAAAAGTTGTAGATTCAAATAATGCAATGTACATTAAAATACAAATACAGTAAAATGTTCTTTTTTTTCATATACTTATATGATGCAAATAATTCAATGTACATTAAACATGTAACCAACATTATAACATATATGTTCATTAGAATATAATACAATGTACATTATAATACAATAAAATGTAATTTTTTATATGCATACACGGTCATTTATACCATATGTACATTTACTATATGAATAATGTTCTTTAATATTATCACGTTCTTTACTAATATTACAAATGTTCTTTAGATTTACAAAAAAAAACACATATAAAACTAGATGTTCTTTATAAAATACCTATATGTTCTTCATAAAAACAACTATATATTCTTTATTGAACAACTAAATGTTATTCCGCCTTTTTTTAAAAGAAAATCGGATGCATAGTGCATCCGCCTCCACAAAAAAAATTTCAACCGAAGGGACCTTTGTATAATTAGAATACGAGTTAGGGTCTAAGCTGTATTCCAAAAATCCTTGGAAAATAAAACCTCTGTTGAACGAACAGAAAAAGCTGAGAAGCTGAAATACTCCCACAAAACAAGAAGACAAGGCGAAATGGCCACTATTGCTGCCGCAAGATCCATTTTCCGATCAACCTCCGCCCGCAGCGCCGCCGCTAAGTTCGCTTCTGGCACCAAATCTGCTCGCTCTGCCTTTCGCACTCCCGTCAATAACTCCCTCTCTCAGCGCATCTTCAGGCGTGTCTTTTTTCCTCCAATTGCACTGAAAATTTGTTGTCAATTTTTTTTTAATTTTTTTTTTTATCATAATTTGAATCATTTTAGAGTTTTTTTTTGGAAATTTGGTGGTAAAATTTACGGATTGTGTATCGTTGATTTGGGAGAACAAATAAAAAAGGATTTGGTTGTTTTATGTAGGTGCCCTGTTGAATTGAGTGTTTGTTTGGAGACAATGCAGCCGTTTCATACTGTAACTGCTTCGGCGTTGATGACTTCAATGCTTTCGATATCTCCCCGTTGTTATGGTTGGGTTCCTGATGGTAAGTTCAGTTGAATTTTATGTACATTTTTCAATGGATTATGTGCAGAATATTGGTTATACAGTATATGGTATATTTGATGTGATTTAAGTGTGTTGGATGAGTGATGGATTGTCATATGTTATTTTAGTGGGTTTGATTGCTATTATATTGATACTCTCTGGAAATTTTGTCTTTGAATTGATTTATGCTGTTACCACAATCAGGTAATTTAGTTTCTTAATAAAATATTTATTTTTGATAAAGTAGCAATCTTGTAAATGAATTAGATTAATTCTGTTTGATGTTAGTAATAGCTTGTTCTTGAATAGTTTCGTTGATGCAATGAGGTGGTTGGTACGACTGTCGCGTGTCTACCAAAAATAAACCTAACTAAAATCTCCTAAAATGCAACAGGGTAAGCTAGTGTCTATCCCACAGAGAATTGGATTATCAAATTATTACTTGAGTAAGTTAGAAACCCCTGTTTTGAAGAAATAATGATATGATCTAATAAATAAGCTACAGACCAGAAAACGAATAAAATACGGGATATAACTAATGAAATTGAAATACGCTAAAACCAAGAATAATGAAATAGGGAACTGGAAGACGTATTATAGCATCGGAGTATCAATTGTCCGTCGAATCATATATAATCATGATTATATCTTAATGTTCACCAATGAACACAAACAAGCATTTGAAACTTCCCTTAATTGCAAATAGGCCAAACAAGCTCTTGGAATATTGTCTTACCAACTAATAATCTAGAACAAGATCTCTAGACTCAATTAATTAGTAGCATTAATGACAAGGAAGTAGTTAACTTAAGCCACAAATCTCACAATCTTGGACTTGTGCAACCATGATCTTAGGTATTACGACAAGTTTTAGTCACCAATCAAACACCTAATCACTAATAATGGTATCAACTAGGACAATTACGGATCACAAGTTAATAGTCTAGTTGTCAACCTAGCAAATTATATTAAAGATGCCCGGTCTCAAATATAATCAACCAGTTTGTAATATTCAAACGGATTACGAAACCAATTAAGAATATAAATATAATACCCAAGAATTACAACATATCAATTCTCACAATCCAATAATCTAATGCATAATTGATCTCCCTACCCTACTAATAATTTAGCCTGTCATAACAAATATTGAGGTAACTATAATATAATGCATAAAAATCATAATAACACTAATTAACAAAACACATAAATGAAAATAAAACTAATAATTAAATTAATCTAGCAAATTGTATACCAGCTAAGTATATAGTCGCATTCAAGCAAAATTAACAAAGTGAAAGCACTGACTTTCATTTTTATTCTCCAAAAGCAAAACTAATACTGCTACTTATCCAAGATAAACCAAGACTGACAATCGAATGAAAAGAAAATGAAAACATAAATACAGTATCAAATTTTCTAGTGAGAATCAGAGTAAACACAAGCAGATTCGAGTCGCCTTCTAGTCTGTCTTGCTTATCACCTGTTTGCTAGATACCACGCAAAATTCATCAATTTGCTGCTCTGAACCTAGCCCAGAAAATCCCCAAAATAAAACTCTCATAATCCCTCCAATTCGGCATCCCCATGTATATCCATAGGAGTCTTCGATCCCTAGCAAATCCAAGTTTTTCGCTCCAATAATTATCCAATTCCATCTCTATCTTCTATATTGTTATGATTGATACTCGCAAAAATCGCTCAATGGTTTACTTTGTATCTTACCCACAAGAACAGTAAGTGAAACTCTCAGTTTCTCTCTTTTGTTTTGTTTTGCTCAGTGAAACGTTGGTGTACGTCAAGGCCCATGTGGCTATTTACACTCAAGCATCACTGGGCTTAAAGTATGTGACTTAATTGAGTCTTGTGAGCTCCGCTTCTTTTGATCCAAGGAGTGGCTAAATGCATTTTGCTACCATAATCTTCTTTCCTACAAACAAACAAATAAAAATAGTAGTATCTCGTGTCCGGGAAAGAAAATATTTATAATACTCTTAAATTATCAAATGTCGACAAAAAAATCAAGAGTTTAATATATATATAAATAATATACTTTTACGATCCTATCGGTGATACTAGTTTTGGTTCTGGGTAAGTGGGTAGGCAGTGGTAATGGGTTTATATGGGGGAGATTTGAACATTATTCATGATACCTTAGAACTACTGATTAATTTAATTATTTCTCAAAGGTGAATGTTATACTTATCTAACTTATAAAGCCGAACAAACCTTTTGATATAAGCTAGCAGGCACTGCTATTCATTTGCTTCACTACCAAGTTGCCAAAAACTTTTTACTACTTTAAGCACCTTTTACATGGAAAACTTTTCTTTATGTAGTTATCAATTCGGGATATTATTGATAACTGTTCTTATTTGTGCTACATAGATATATAGATATAATCTAGTAATATGGATTTCTGTTTCAGTTTTATGTGTGTTTATATGGTTGCAAGTGAGGGATAAGCATATTTTTTTAAGTGTTAGAGGATCTACATCGAACTTTTTGATGGTTAAAATACTATAGATGTATCATTTAAACAAAGATGAAAAAATTATTGAAATTGTAAGTATAGTGAATAGCAGTTTATATATTTGGTTACTATTTTAAGGTCAAGAGTGAAAAATCTGAAAGTTTATAAATGCAGGCTTTTGACGGAATTTCATCCATATTCATAAAAGGTCTTAGGAATTAGGATTGATATAATGAAGCTATATTTTATTTGGAAGCCATTAATTTGTGGTCATCAGCGAGAATAGCATGCCATATAGAGTACTAAGAGTAGTGTTAGGAGGAGTTCGGAGTGAGGAGGTTGACAATTAAAGTTAATTCTCCCTTCATGTGGGTTTTTAATTAGTTGGTCACTCATATCACAACATAAGACTACTGTTACTAATTACTTTGTAATAAAAGTGTTTCCACCATCCACTCATGTGATCTATGTTATTAACTTTACTATCAAAATTCAAAATATGTGAAGTTGTTGGCTAATATATCTTTGTCATTGGTAGGTGCAACAAAGTTGACCTCAATAGTATCACTCATCCTTTTCAATTGCTGTGTAAAACTTATAGTACGCGCACGCGCGCACACACACACACACACAAATTTTGGAGAGCTATGTCTATTAACTAGCCTTTCCATATTAGCTTAGTTTTTTCACAATTGCCTTTTGTAAGATTTTAGGTGATACTACCTTCCAACTTGGTTTGGGATAGGTGTTTTTACATGTCCATGTGTGGTTATCCTCTTGACTTAAAAATTCTAAAGCATCAATCTCCAAATAAGCTTCCTAATGTATTATTTTCTTCTCTCTTGATCTAGGTATCTAACCCACAAGCCCCTTTATGCCCTTTCCTTACCTTGGACCATGTGGTAAGTCAACGCTCACCAAATGTTGAATTAAGTCACCAAATGATGAATTAAGTCACCAAAATCATCTCAGAGTTCTAGTAGATCTACATTTCATCTATGAATCTTCAAGTTCATTTAATTCACGTGCCTTAAAGCTTCAACTTCTAACTTTTCAACCTATTTAGTTGAGCAAGCCTCCTCTTTTTCACCATTCTTGCTATTCTGTCAACATCACTCAGCCACCACAAATTCTGACTTACAGCAGGAGTAAAGGACAGAGACAACAACAACATCAAGCAACACACCCACTACCATGAGCAGCAGCAACGGTTGAAGGAAATTGGCAGAGTACTTTTCAGTAATTACTTAGCTAGAAGACAAATTGTACTAATTGTTAACAATCAAGGGAATAGGCCAAATGCTTATATCTCAAGTAGTATAAATAGAATAGCATAAGGAGAGAGACAATTCTTTCAGAAATATTGTTTGAGACTTTGAGAGTCATGGCCTAAAGCCATGTGTACCGTACGCAAGCTTTCAGCTTAATCCAACGCCAATCCTTCGACTTAATCCTTGTTTATTTACGCTTTCCGTTGCATGTTTTTCTTATCGATGCTGTTGCTAGCTTCTTTTAATTATTATTACTATTTTTCGTAGGCTTGTAGTGTCTGTAAGAAAACATAGCATTTGAAGAATTCCCCATCTACCATAGTTTTAAAATTTATATGCTAGAAATGCTTTCTTCTTGAAGATTTGTTTTATCATTAATTGGTGTTTTCCTTAACCTTAAATCTAGTATTGAATTATAACCACCGAAGAGTTTAGTGTGGCTTCTAGCATTTCATTTTTGCTTGGTTTTTAATTGAAACATATCCTGTGATGCCAGTTTCACTGGTTTTTTCATGTTTCCTTTTATGCTTTATGTTACTCTTCTTGCATCTTCTATCCTAATTCCTAAGCTCTTCTACAATTGATGTGCTTTTAGGCTTTTCGGCAATCTGTTGGTTATCTCATTTAAGGTCTTGTTTGTCTTAGTTCATTGAAATGCGAACTTGCAACATGGTTAGATCAGATCTATATTAGACTAAATATCTATTCTCCTGTTATTTTTTGCTTTTAGTTCAGATAAGGTATAAGATATGGATTGATAAACTCAAATAAGATATGATAAGGACTCTAGAGTTCCAATAAGGTCTAGTAAGGCCTAATAATAAGGTCTAGGATGATAAGATAAGACAAAGGCTAATTACTTCATATAAGATAAGAGAGGTTAATGAGAGTCTGTCATGGCTCTTGGATGTAACTTCTTTTGATGTTTCTCATAATGTGCAGATAAAGCCTTCCTTTTCAACCTAAAAAAATGATCAGAGAAGTTCATGGTCGATAGATAAGATAGTGAAATTTTAGTGATGAGAACACCACCTTAACAAATATTAAATGTGTTGCTTGAAATAGTGGTAGTTTTTATTTGATCGATTTTGTGCTATGTAGTGACATGTTTTTATGTTGTACACATGCCATGGGAAATGTGTGGACTCAACATTTTGTAAAACAATTTTTTATGTTTAGGAATTTAAGGATGTTTGTTCAAGCTTCTAGGATCCTCATTAACTTCTAGGCAACCACATTGATTATAGAGTAGTTTCTACTCCTTAAGAAACCCAAAAGGGCAAAAGCAACTTTTACGGGCTGTAAAAATAAGTAACAATTTGAAGCTTTTCATTTATTGTTATTGTTATTCTTATTATTTATTGTTATTGTTATCGTTATTGTTATTATTATTATTTAATTTTTTTTTTTTCCTTTGTGTGGAGGAGTTTTCCATTTTTAATGACCATTTCAATATTTTTAAAATGCCCTTACACAATTTCCTTGTCCTATAAAAATATCAATGCTCTTATGTAATTCCATATTTTTTTCCTTACTTCCACATTAAGAACCAACAACAATAGTAGCAACAAAGCCTTGGTCTCAAATGATATGAGGTAAGCTAACATTAAAGAAAGTGCCTAAATGAAAGTGGATCTGAAATGAGAAAAAACATAGTGAGCAAAGGTGTAAAGTGAAAACCGGGAGGATAGAAGAGTAGAGTTTGAGAGAGGTTTTAAAAGAGGGTTAAAAGCATCTCCTATGACTAAAATTAATTTTCCTTGCCACTTAATATTTATGCTAATTTACTTTAAGCTAATCTGTACTCTAATGGTTAGCTACTAGGTATCTATATAATTGCGTTCCACATGTCAATAAATAATTAGCTAGCATTCTCCATCCCTTTCCCAACTTATGGGATTAAGGCTTTGATTGATTGATTCTCCATCCCTTTATCACCAATTAGCTTAAGACTTATATGAATTCAAGGCAAGCCCCTAGCTACAACAATAGGATTTGCTTTAAGGGAAGATAAAAAGAGGAAAAACATACGAGTAAAAATAACTTTTTTTTGAAAAAAAAAAACTTAACTCAGGATAATAGATATGAGAATGAGTTTAGGTAAAAGAAGAAAGTGTACACACACACAACGATCCTGTCAGGCTGTCACTTTGTCACTCTTCAATTTCCCTTACCTTCCTTAAAAGAGCCTTACTTAATCTATGTTTTACATGGCCAACCAACCTTAGAAATTTCTCTCTCATTCCTACTTTCTATAAGATATGATAAATGTAACCAACATTGCATTTTGTGGGGCATGCTAGGATCACATAAAAACCCTGTAGCAATTTTACACTTCAGCCAACCTGCTTTTGTTTGATCTAAGGACTATAATTCAAAAGGATAAGGAATTGTATGGAGACGTTGCTCATAAAAACTGTTTCTGTCGATTTGATATTTATGAGCTATTTAACATGTTCTGTCCTTGTTATCATTCTTTCTTGCAATTTGGTTAAAAACAATGATGTGTCTTAATGATAATTGAAGTGCTGTGTATGTTTTTATACCCATGTTTGAACTTCCCATGTCTGATGCAACTAATCAATTAATGGTTCATTAAAGGATAGTCCCAAAATTTTTGAATATCTATATAAAAAAGGTCCTTTGTCTAGAATTGTAATTCTATTAGCAAATTCATTGCACAACTTTTTTTATTCTTCATTCATTTAAATCAAATAATTGAAGATTAGAGTAACATCATTTTTGTAAGTCAGAATGGAACGAATGTGGCAAGAAGATTGATCCCTAAGGTTTGTTAGGAAATACAGGTTAGGTGGATATAGGATACAGATATACATCTGTAATTTGTATACCGGTGGAACTCTAGTAATTTCTTCCATTGTGAAGCTCGTGAAGCAACTTCTTCTGGGTAGTTTGGATGGGGAAAAAGTCACACACCTAGTCTTACTGACATCTCTATTCTGCATTGTTCCTTCTTCGCCACTTAGATGAGCGATAACTCTCTACCCCATTGCCCATAAGGTCTTGGGATCAATTAGTTTCACCTCTGCATGTATTGTTAGTCATTATTTGGTTTTAAGAATTTAATTTACAATTTCTGCTCCTATTATTTCCCTACTGTTTATGTAGATAGTCTTCACCTTTCTTGCAATATTTGGTGCTGAGGGTTTGTCTTATTTGCATCTTGTATTCAACTTCTATTATTACAAACTAAATTTAACATAAACATTGAGCAGGCTGACTGACTATGCGTGTTCAATCAGCTTGCAATGATGACGTGTGAAAATGCTCAGAAGATTCAACTGGAGTCTTGAACAGAATCGCCTTGTTACACTGTAACTGCTGCTATTTCATATTTTTTGTATCATACCTTCACCTGATCAACTAATACAAGATTACTGCAATATTTTTCATATATATATATATGGCATCATCATGTTGATATGCAACCTTGACTTAATATGCTTTATTTTGTGTGATCAATGGGTTCTTAGGCAAAACTTTTTTCTTTATATAAAGGTGGAGCTCAGTGTAAGCTGGATGGGAATTAGCTGCTGCGCATTTTGCTATTGTAATATCATTGATGATAATTTTCCTATTATAATGTGATGTAAACGCTTTAAAATAAATTTCTAATGCATCCAATCTATTTGAGATGGTCCAGGTGCATAAGCTTGCTCTTTTGAAAAAGTTAAAATTTCAGCAGTCGTCTTGAAGTGAGTCTGTTTGTCTGTCTTTAGTTTTCATTTAATTGAGTTGCTGCTACCTTCGGTGTCTGGTTAACAGGGATTTCTAAGGCCATCCTTCGAAGGAATTGACATGTTATTATAAAATGTCCATGTCTTGTTACCCCATTCCCTTTCCTTTTCTTTTACCTACATATGAATATTGCTTCATGTCTCATGTTAGAAATGTGGATTACCTTCCTTTTTTACTGCAATAATGGTATGAGATTGTTTAAAATTTGACATACATTCCCATTTATTAGACAATATTATTCATTTTCTAGGGCTGTAATTCATCATTTTTGAGCTGCTGGGGAGGTTTGCTGAGGAGATTAGTTTATTATTATAATCTATTTTCTTAACAAGTCTCAGCTTCAGTTGTAAGACGTGGGGACTGATTTTGGTATGATGTGTACTCTATGTTTTCCATTGTATTGTCAATGATTTTTGTCACCCGCTGTGAACATGTAGCAAAATTTTCCGCTACCAACTCATTGGCTCGTGCTAGCTTTAATAATAGAACTGCTGCATCCAAGGCATATTGATTCAATCACCTTTTTTTTAAAAAAAATTTTATTTTGTATTGATATGCTTGCAGTTACCTATGATTTAGTTGATTAGTTCTCTATCATTAGTTGGAATTTGTGTGGCGAAACCCTTAGCCAACCATTCCATTACATGGTATGTTTCTATACATATTACCAAATTATCCAAGGTTGACTTGTATCACCTGTTTTAGAAGTAGTATGCGCGTGTTTTCCTATTGTATCTCCTCACCCTTCTCATTCATGTGGGAACTTTGAATTATGCCTACACACAGCTTTTGAGTTTATTCCATCGAAATTCTAGCAGACCAGTCTCTTGTTTCTGATTAACTTAGAAAGATGCTATTCTAATAATCCCTTGCTGTTTGTTGGATGAAATTGGCGTACTCATAATCTATTAGTGCTTAGTGAGAGCAGCAGAGGTTACTGAACCCAAAATGCAGACTAATCTGGGAAGGATGGATCAGGAAAACATTATAGTTAGCTCCTTCATATAGATGCAGCCTATTGAAGATATAAAATAAATGGAATTTGTGATTAGGATAAAATGCTTTTTTTTGTTATACGGAGTATCTGATTTTTTTTTTTTTTTTTTTTTTTTTTTTTTTTTTTTTTTGACAACAACAAAACCCTAAATTAATCATAAACTAAAGTACACACTAGAACATTAGGGGTAGAACCATATAACAACTTTCGGTGGGATAAGACGCTTTCCTTTTTGAGCCACTCATCCTGCAAAACAAAGGGTTAGTAAAAAACAGAGGAAGTTAAACTTCTTAGAGAATGACTTTGCCTTCTAGCTCTGGAACGACAAGAAGAAACCAATAACTTCAAATTTTAAGAAGAGGAATTGTTGGGGCTTGCAACAGACTTCACCGGGGAGTAGACTGGAGCATCTGGAAGGGGCACCGACGTACTTTCACACGATGATGATACTTGATCAACCATACCTATGGTCGAATCTTCTTGTGCCAAATTTGGAGTTGCTTCACACCTATCATGCCCTTTCACAGGGGGGTGACTAACCTCCATTGGTGTAAAAACTTCTTGAGTTTTAACACAATCCATCTTCTTTGGATGATCGAGTACTCGGATGCTAATAAAATCCTTCTTGGAAGAGCAATAGTAGTGTGGTGTCCGTCCCTTAGAAATCGCTTCATACATTGTTGGAGTGAGATGCAAATAAGAATCAATACGTTTTCGGTTACAAAACCGATAACTTGACCCTGTAAGATTTGGGTTTTTTGTTTCTGAAGTTGACTTCAGATCAGAATTGTTATCAATAATGTTGGGCCTTCGATCTTGATCGATAGGGTTAGCTTTACCCTCCTCCGAATTCAAAGATTTGCCAGCAACATCCTTTTCCTTATTGGTGACATCTTTTACACCAATACACCTATGAGCACAACCATCTCCACTACCATCTCTTTTCTTTTCCCTTTTTTCTCTAACTTCCTCTTTTCTTCTTCTTTCCCAATTTTAGCATAATCTCTAAACATTTTATCCTCTCTTGTAACTGCAAGTGCCTCATTAACAAAATCCGGAGACCAATCCAATAAAGAGGTCACCTCATTGAGTTCTTGTTGAAACTCTCTGTTGGTGGGATCAATCCTAATTGCTTGTGCGAGATCCATAAAAGCTAAGTCGGGTTTATTGAGCTCTAAAGCTGCCACTGCCCTTCTACAGTAAGCTTTTACATTAGATGTATCATAACACAAAACTGCAGAACACAACTGACCCACCTTGTCAAAGTTTTTCTCTTTGACATAACAAGCACCCAAGTTCAGATTAAGAGCCACAGCTAGGCTCGAAAAAACAGATTTATCTTCATCATTACAGACTGTAACAAAGGATAAAATCTTGAGTGCAAGAGAGTATTTTGCAAGCGCTAATCCCATATTACTCTTTTTGTAGAAATTGTTACCTTCATCTTTCAAACCCTTAACAAAATCCAGAATACCAAAAGGATTCTCCAACTTTCCAACTAAAAGCTCTAATTTATGAGAAGAGATATCATTCTCTTTAACATGAGAAATACACAAAATTCCCCTAAGTTCTTCAAAATTATCCATAAAAACTTTAAACAAAGACAAACTAGAAATACCAAACAACTAGAAACTAAGGTTCAAATTGGTAACCAAATAGAAAACAAGCTTCTCCATAACTGAAACAAGGCATTCCAGAAAATCCATTGCGAAGAACACTCTAGCAAAGGAATGAAGGATGACCTCGGCCGACAGATGCGTTGCTGCCCTTACACCACTGAGAAAGATACTTGATACACAACCAATCGCGGATCCTTCGAACAGGGAATAGTCTCCGTGTATAAGACCCAAAATCCCCCAAATTCGAAAAACAAACCCTAACCCTAACCTTTCTTCAGTAAAATTGGGATGTTCGGACTAAAATAGCTAGGAGAAACGCGCCTAATTGGGCCCGAGGTCATCAAGAAATGCTCGCCGACGACCTTAGATGAGCAACGATGCTCTGGTCGCCGGCGGCAGCAGGGGAGGCTTGAGGGAGTTGAAGTTTCTGTTTTAGAGAGAAGGGAGAGCGTTTTTCCTGTTTTGAGAGTTGTTTAATCAGTGCACCTTTTTTCTTTTTAAGGAGCTACTGTTGATGGTGAGTAAATGACTGAAGAAGGCATTGGAAAATTTTTTGAGAGAATTGTGTGATATTCTCTCTCCTCTAGTTATACCTGATTGTTGGTGTAGCAAACCTTGCAGTTTGAAGTGCTTACCCAAAACTCTACACTGCCGATTTATTGCTCTAACCTTTAATTACAATTTGACGGGTTACACTATTTATACGTAGATTAGGGTTGATGCGAGAAGCATGATAGCTGAAACATTCAGAGCTCGAGATTTCGGATTAGACTCTTACATTAATCAAGCCTAGGGTTTCACCTAAAAATATTTTAATAAAAAAGATAATATAAGGGTTTTTTTTAAAAAAAATTTTATTTACTTAAACTATTGATTACCATTATAAGTGTTATTTTAATAAAAAAAAAATCCATAACTATCCTACCAGCAACCCCTCCTCAATCGGTGGCCATGCCTTTATCAGTGGCGGATCCAGAACTTATGAGTCACCATCAATAATTGATCACTTGTTTCAATCCAAAAATTATATAAAAAAAAAATTATATTTTACCAAAATAATTTCAATTCAAAAATAGGATATAAAAATACATACTATAAAACTATTACATTAAACTAACTTTATGATTTTTTACTTAAAAACAAGAATTATTAAAAAAAAAAGTTAGATAACTTAAGAAACTGGTTATTAAATATAACAGGTCTCTTTAATGAAATATGAAAGCAAAAATTATTCTAATTCAATGGCTGACAAAAAGAGACTTGTTATCTAGATAACAGTTCTCTAATGACGTGGTGAATAGCAGCAATAAAGAGACCACCTATCTGATATTTTAATAGGCGGTCTCATTGATATTTAAAAAACTAACAGTGGGCTAATCTCAAATAGAAGCAACAAAGAGACTGCCTATCTGTAATAGGCGGTCTCTTAGTTTTTTTTTTTTTTTTTTTTTTTTTTTCTTTTTTCTGGTGAGTCACATGAGTCACTATGCACCTTAATAGATTTGCCCCTGGCCTCTATCGGAGACGCCCAACCTCCCCCACTCCACCTTCTATCTTTCCCCCAATCTGACATCTCTCAATCTAGATTCCGGCAGCCTCTCTTCTCCTCCCCATTTCTGGCCTCTCCCATCCCTTTCCTCCCCGATTTCAACAACCACCAACAACACCATCGAAATAACAGCGCTTTAGCTGCTGCTCCTCCTTTAATTAGCAAACACACCACCCATGACCTTTACTCTCTCTCCTCTAACGAGCACTCTCCTCCCACCGTCGGCGACCCCGTCTTTACTGGCAAAACAGCCTCCTTCAAACCCTAAAATCAGCAAAAGCAATCCTAAATCGAGCGAAATCAAACCCTGAAATCGAGAGAAATCAAGCCCTAAAGCTTTGAAAATTGAAGAAACCCATGATTTTCGACTTTCATCCACAAACCCAAATTATTTGATTTCGTTTAGGGAGGAGAGATTGAGAATTTGAGATTTCGAGGAGGGAATTTCAGGGTTGAGGGTGTTGATTTCGAGAAAGGGGCTAGTGGTAAGGGGGAGGAGAGGTGCACAGGGGGAGTTTGGCACACCGGTGAAGTAGGCTGGGCGGCCGGTGCGTTGGCGTGGTGGGGGGGGGGGCAATTGGGTGATTTAAAAAAAATATTTCTAAAATAAATGTAAAAAAAAAATAAAAAAAAAAAAAAACTAACTATAAACTAATTATAGTTAAATGTTTAGTCAAATTAATCATTTATGTTACATTTGATTTAATATAAAAAATTTAGACATTTACCACTAAGAAAATTAAAAGTTGGAGTTCACCAAAGAGAATTTCCTTCTTTTTTTTTTTTTTTTTTTAATGAAAAGGTAGCACTAACATATTAATAAGTTAAATCAATCTCTATCCTTTAAGGGAGCAGAGCCACACAAACTAGTCCATCATTTGTACGGGTATCCCATCTAGCAATATGATGGGCGATCGTATTACATGCTCGGCTAACATGAGAAAATAAAAATTCATAAAAAAGGCTATCATGCCTAATATCATCATAAATAAGGTGGATCGGAGTAAGCCCATCACCCCTGTATAATACTCCTTGGACTACACTTGTTTCATAACTCTCAACGTGTACCTTACTAAAGCTATACCTCATCGAAAGTTCCATACCATATCTAGCATCAAGCCCCTCTGCAGTTGCAGGGGCTATAAATAGTATGCGACAAACACCAGCCAACAGAAGCAAACCCGAAGCATCTCTCACAGCAACCCCAACCAAGCCATTCTTCCCTTGCAAACATAAGCATCAACATTGATCTTTACCATCCTCGAGCTCGGACAAACCTAGGAAGTACTATTGCTTGCAGTCTTGTGACTACGCAATTAGGGTACAATTATCACCTTTTCTTGCATATTCATAGAACTCCTTCACCAACCTCACAAAACTAGCTGTAATGAGTATCACATTCAAAATTTCAAAGCCTAAAACTTTCTTGTTTCTACATAACAGCCAACCCACATTAAAAGCACCAACAATTCTCGGCTTCTTCGCCCTTAATCTACTTGCTAACCACTCCCACCTATCCCTAAAAGATGAACGAACCAGGAGCACCCTCTAAATGTCTAGCCAACTCGCTATATCATCATATCTCTACATCAGCCACACAGTGAAATAGAGCATGAAGTATTGACTCATTTTCAGCACCACATGCTTAACATGAAGAGTATTCTATCACATGCCTATACACTAGTCTCTCCTTGATAACAAGGTTGCCTTTGTAAGCACTCCAAATGAAATGCTTAAGTTTCGGAGAACCATTCATATGCCAAATGCCCTTCCATAACTTCGCATCCTCCCCAACAGAACCCCCCATCCACTTGCATATCGCCACTAGTCCATGTTGGCCAATAACATAATTTTATAGTGAATATTCCATCCTTTTTTTAAGACCAGAACAGAGCATCATTAGTGTGTCTCTAAGATTAGGTAGTGGATAAAATAGAAGCATTGATATTATTAGGAAA